ACTAGGTATCGCCCCTCCCCCAGCACCTCTCCCCTCCCATGGGTAGAAACCGTCTAGTGTCTGGCCTGGTCTGTGCCCCCAGGGTCCTTGGGCTGAACTATCTCATGCCCCCCCGGGGGAGTTACACCCCCACTGCAATTACTGCGAGCGCTCAGCGCCCCCCCCCCACGCGCGCCATCAAACGCCCCAAGCTCCCAGGCCCCTCTCCTAGGACAGACCCTCCAGCCCCCGCCCAGCCTGGCAGCGCCTCTGCCCCGGCTCCCGGCTGCCTTCCCCTTTCTCCGCACGGGGACAGAGCGGCCGCCCGGCTCCCAGCCAAGGGCTCGCCGGGGCACGGCCAGTGGGACTAATCCGGCCGCGCTGCAGGTCAGACCTGAGCCATTCTAGGCCCACGGGCTCCCAGCCGCATCCCAGGGGGACTCTCCATTATCCTGCAGCCGCCCTGCATGTCCAGGGCTCTCGCGTCCTCTGTCCCGGCCCCGCTGAGCCCCCAGCTGCAGAGAAAATCTTGTTTTTAGCCCCTAAGCGCGTTCCCGTGGGCCCTGCGCGGTCGGCGTTCAGCCCATGGCTGTCGCTCCGGTCAGCCGGGTCCTCCAGTCCCCCCTGGGTAAGGGTCCCGGCCCCCCCCGCCGTGCCGCTGCCCCCAGCTTTGTATCCCCAGCAATGCCGGGTGCCCCCGCCCCCTTCGTGCACCACGGTCCTTAACAACTAGTGACTGAGCCTGGTCCCCAGACCGAGCCGCACGGACGCCTGTAGCCACCTCCCTGCAGGCCAGAGAGTCTCCGCTCAGCACCGCCCGCGGCCTTCGCCCCGTCGCCGGCTCCTGACCCAGCGCACGCAGCGTGGGGGGATCCCCAGCGCCCAGTCGCCGGCTCCTGACCCAGCGCACGCAGCCTGGGGGGTCCCCAGCGCCCCGTCGCCGGCTCCTGACCCAGCGCACGCAGCGTGGGGGGATCCCCAGCGCCCCGTCGCCGGCTCCTGACCCAGCGCACGCAGCGTGGGGGGATCCCCAGCGCCCCGTCGCCGGCTCCTGACCCAGCGCACGCAGCGTGGGGGGTCCCCCCACCCCGACTGCAGCGGGGAATTCCCCACGGGCTCCGTGGCAGACGCTTTACTGAACGCCAGGTGTGTGAGCCCCGCGGCTCGTCCCTTCGCCGACCAGTCAGTTATTGGCCCAAAGCAGAACCCGGGTGAGTCTGGGCATCTGCGTCGTGTCACGGCCCCGTTCCCAGGTACCGCCAGGACCGCGATTACTCTGCCGTACGCGGTGTGGGGGCAGCCCGGCCGCTCGGTACCGGCCAGAGCCCGTTTTCCCCTTTCTGCACCGTGAGCGTGTGTCCTGGGAGCTCCAACTCGGCAAGTACTACCGACAACAGGGCTGTGCTGGTAACACTTTGGTTTCTGGTGACTTGGGAACGTCCAGCCAATGGGTCAATCTCCCAGCTCTGCCCCACCCCAATTCCCAGCTGCAGCCGGTGCACAGAACAGGCAGCAATACCCGGTGGGAGGGGCCGAGGGGAACCGGCAGGAGCGGGGGCGGGGGGGGGGGGCTGGTGAAGGAGCGTGAGACCCAGTGACAGACAC